CCTAGACTCTGCTCAGATGTCTTAACGAGCCTCCCTCCTACCTCCTCGTGATTCATCTCCCTCGCCTTCCGCTTCAATCCGCTCCGATTCCTGGCCGCAAAAGGCATGCAAGTCCTCCGCTCCCCTCGCCAGGCGCAGAAGGCCTCCCGGATCTGTCCCAGCAGCAGTCACCGCTACGCCCGCTCCCTCTCATCGTTTCGATGCAGCCTTGGACCTTCTTCAGCTTCCTGATTCATAGCAGCTCCCCCGTCTAGTCCTTCTGGCGTTTAACAGCTCTCAGCCTCCCTCCGCTCCACCGGACTCTCTCACTCAATCCTTCGACGCTGTCCGCACGCTCCAAACGTGGGAATCCCTGCACTGCCACGTCATCCCTGCCGCTGTCTGCTCAGACGGACCTCCCCCTCCCCTCATTCACATTAGGGAACGCCCGCCCTGGGCCAGCCTTAGGGTAAGACGTATTCAACCATGTTTTCATTCATAATTTTCTATCTATTTGAGTTTGCTGTTATGCTTCGTCTGCCTCTATCAGGCATACTTATATTAACACACATGCTGATATTTTCACTAGCCCCGTTCTAATTATTCAGGGAAATATTTTAATTTAGTCTCTTATTCTTCCCTCCCCTGAAGTCGATCAGCAGGTCGCATCAGCAGGTGACGTCACAGTTTTCCTTAAATCATCCGATCTCCGTCTACCAGAGATCTTTCTATTGGCCTTTTTTTTTTTGGCCGCATTCGGCATCTATCGTGATTACTCAGAGCTTCTGCAGGAGTGCCATCCGATCAGTCTGTCCCCGCCGTGCACGCTTTATATATCGTACCTCAGTCTTAGCAGCCCGTCATCTTACCACCCCTTATTATTACTTCTGATTATCGTCTGTCTTCTTCTAAAAAATAAAAATAAAAATAAAAAATACACAAAACTGATGTTCTCCATCAGTCATTTCTAAATGCCAATTGCGCTCCTTGCTAGGTCAGCTAATTTGCATGCGCTTATTTCTCAAGGCCGCGCTTTCATTCCCAGTTGCTTGATCGGCAATTTCCGTCCCTCTCCTTGGTCAGATTACTGAACGTAGGCGCCGTTTGGATCCCCTGGTCTGACTGCTTCTAAATTGGAACAAAATTTCTTTTCTATGTCGACATTATCTATCTCCTGCCATGCTTCAAAAATTTTACGGATGCTGCATCCGTAGGTTTTGGGGGGTTCTTCAGGACAGGTGGTTCACGGGTTCATGGCCTCTTTATTCACACCCATTATGCTTGTGTGAGGTCTAACCCTAGCTAGCTTGCATCGTGGGGCTTTGGGAAGGAATCGCGTCCGCCCACTGCGATAACTTCGTAGTAGTTGAAGCCACTAATAAGTCACTCCTCCTCCCAGTCTCTCATGCCTTCATCAGAAGCATCACTGGCAGCAGTCACTAACGTTTCATCATCTCGGCGCGTCATGTTCAGGCATTCAAGCACTTTTATTCGCCAAGCGTTACCCTACGTCCACTCATGGTTCCTTCACCACCTCAGGATACTCTTAGAATCACGTGGCCTTCCCTCTAGTAGGTAATCTGGGCTCATTCTGGACCGAGCAGCTGCATTGCAGCTACTCGCGGGGTTCTGAGGCTTCCCTCAGCTCTGGGCCGATGGTTCACCAGCCTATACCTCATTCATCTGCCCAGAACTCTCACCAATTCTCTCAGCTCAGTGCTCTCTCTGCCTCTAGGTAACTCTATTACAAATACTGGTGGTGGTTCAACTCATTTTCATAATTTTCTGACCTAATCACGACCATCCTCTAACTCATTTTCTACTCCCACTCCTTATCAGTTTTCTTCTTTATTCCCTGCTTCATGCAGTCTTCCATGCTGTCTCCTTGCTATTCATGCTATCTTCATTCTGGCTCGCATTCATGCAATCTCACCTTTATGACAGGCATTTATATGCATTCTCCTGTGTGTCACGTCACGTCTGGTCTGTGTCTCGTCATGCATCCTTGACACCATTTAGCATGCATTCCCTAATGCATCAATTCTTCATATATGTTACCATCCGCAAGAATCATCCGCAAGATTCATTATCAGACTCATCTGCAAGATTCATTATCAGACTCATCTGCAAGATTCATTATCAGACTCATCCGCAAGATTCATTATCAGACTCATCCGCAAGATTCATCCCCTAATGCATCACATGCTCCCTATCTGTGTCTCGTCGTGTCTCGTCATGCATCCCTTACGCCATTTTGCTTGCATTTCCAATGCATCAATATGCACCATGTCTGCGTCTCGTCATGTCTGTATCCCGTCATGTTATATGTTCTGTATGGACTCATCCGCAAGATTCATTATCAGACTCATCCGCAAGATTCATTATCATCGTCATCATAATGGGATGCATCGTCGTCGTCATCATCATCATCATCCGCAGGATTCATCATCATCCGCAGGATTCATCATCATCGTCATCATCCGCAGGATTCATCATCATCGTCATCATCATCATGGGATCATCATCATCATCATCATCATGGGTTCATCATCATCATCATGGGTTCATCATGGGTAAATCATCATCATCATGGGTTCATCATCATCATCATCATCATGGGTTCATCATCATCATGGGTTCATCATCATCATGGGTTCATCATCATGATCATCATCATGGGTTCATCATCATCATCATGGGTTCATCATGGGTAAATCATCATCATCATGGGTTCATCATCATCATCATCATCATGGGTAAATCATCATCATCATGGGTTCATCATCATCATCATCATCATGGGTTCATCATCATCATGGGTTCATCATCATCATGGGTTCATCATCATGATCATCATGGGTTCATCATCATCATCATCATCATCATGGGTTCATCATCATCATCATGGGTAAATCATCATCGGTAAGTTCTCGGCGTCAACCGTGGTCGCCATCCTCATCAACAACCTGGCTCGGTAAGTTGTTCGCAAACCTTCTCAGCATTTCATTACGCATTCTTTATTCTGTCCCTAGCGTATGCCCTACGAGCATTCGGACTCTCCGGCCTCGACCTCGGCTTTTTGGGGGAACATCCCTATTCATATTCATCTACTCATGCATGTTAAAGCATAATTCAGCATGAATGTTCCTGCCGAGGTCTGAGCGCCAAAGACTATACTTTCTTATCAATAAATTTTTCTAATTATCTTTTCTCTCTGTGTGAGTTTTTCAGATTGAAATGAAGCTCTAGCGAAAGTTCAATTGAAGAAACTCTGACTTACCTCCATCAATCAGAAGCCGATCCGTCTCTGAAGCGAGCCAATCAGCTTCGAACTACTCCACCACGAAGCCCAATCAGCGTCCTGCTTCCACTTTATAAACTCCCTCAAATCTCACCACAGCCGCTATCCTGCAATCGCAATGTCAGATTTCGATTCAGACGACAATTCACCCACCTCCATCCCCTTCTCCGCCATCGCCGCTGAATCGTCCTCCATGACACGACTTCACCTCAACCTCATCAGAGAGTATTAATCCCAGTTGTCACCATCCCTCGTCTCATCGCATTGGTCCGGCAGAAGACCACCATGTTGAGCCCGGTTCTGCCAGAGGTTTCTTCCCAAAGGGGAGTTTTTCCTCTCCACTGTCGCTTCATGCTTGCTCATCATGGACACTTCACGGTACCTGCATCACCGAGCAGGACCTCTATATCCCGAGTCTGAGTGAAGCCCCGGCGTCAGCTCCCTCAGTCTTCTAGTCCCACAATTCTGCCCAGCAGATCACCTCGTCAACCAGCTCGGATTAAACCACCACCAGTTTCAGGCCCGGGGGGAACATCCCTATTCATATTCATCTACTCATGCATGTTAAAGCATAATTCAGCATGAATGTTCCTGCCGAGGTCTGAGCGCCAAAGACTATACTTTCTTATCAATAAATTTTTCTAATTATCTTTTCTCTCTGTGTGAGTTTTTCAGATTGAATTATCAATGTTAAAACACACTAAATATGAATAAATGAAAAAAGGTGTTACATTTGTTTGTTGTAATTGCCATTGAGGTCATATGCTTTTATTTTGGTAACACTCATGAATGCAACTATGGTAAAGGAATGAGAGTAGACATGAAAGGAATAACAGCGGTACAGAAATAGGGTTAACAGCAAAACAGAAAAATGACACAAAGTAATTCAATTTTAGCTGTAGTTGAAACAAGCATAGTAACCGGGGTTTAAGCATTTAAATATAAATCCTTTATTGTCACACAATGGGAAAATTCACTCTCTGCATTTAATCCATCCACTTGGGGAGTATTGGCAGCCCAGGGAGCAGTCTGGGGTTAAGGGTCTTGCTCAGGGACCCAGAGTGGCAGTCCGATGGAGGCTGTGGGGCTTAAACTCAGAACCTCTGGGACCCAAGCGCAACGCTCTAACCACTAGGACAGCACTCACAACATTTAACCCTTTTTTACATGTAAATATACGGTTGTGTAATATGACAAATAAAGTAATTGTAAATTTAAAGTATGTGATGAGCCTAAAATGAATTATACTAATGTAATGAGGTACGGTACGCATAACAAAAGACGGTTGAAAGGATTTTAACTATTACTATCTGTTCTTGTTTACCGCTTGATATGAATGGCTTACCTAAATCATCATTTAACCGTCAGTTCTGGCCTTCTCCATATCTGACTCATTCAGTTATCTGTGATAATGTTGTGGTTTAATTTGAACTTACAGTTTTTACATTTTCATTTATAAGTTTGAAATAATATGCTCCATAATTTACTTTCTTTTTCCTAATGCAAAGTATGTAAAATATATCTATAATTATCTAGGATACCTGAGATGTAAATATGATTATACAAAAATTTGATGCTCATTGGCTTCTACAGCATCTTTCAGTTCTGTGGAAACAAGGTCTCTTGATAATAAATTCCTCTGTGTGGGGGAGGATTTATGGCTGAAGTGCGTGAGCTTTATGGATATAAATGCTGGCTTTTCCTGACCACATCTTTACCACTCTTGTAGCCTGGGGACATTTTTGGTTGGTAGCACTTCGTTGTTTCCAGGATAATTTGCTTATTCCTAATATACCATTGTTTGTTATTAAACATATTAACAGAATGTTTTTTTTTTTTTTTGCTTTACCTCTAGTAACATCTGCATGAGTATTCATATTTATTTAAACTTTTAAAATATGCTAAACATGCAGATTTCTAATCTGAAGGTTGAATTTTCTGTTATTCATTTCTAGTGGGATTTCTGAACATGGCACTGTTTGTTTATCTGCTACTGATGTGTGGTAAGTAGCTACTTTATTCTGTATCTAATTCCTTTATTATTCAAATCTCCTCTTAGGCGTTTCAAATCAAACTGACTTAAAGCTTTACTCAGAAAAATATTGCGTAGCTTCTAAGCAGTTCAGTTTCTAAAGTAGATTTAATTTTAGAGGTTGTTACATAATCATCTAGATAGTTTTTCACAGTATATTATCTAAACTATACAGTATATGTGCAACAGTGGCGTAAGATTTAGGAGACCAGAGAGTTGCCGCCGGTTCCCACCTCAGCTCTGTCTATCTATGTTGATGTGTCTTTGGGAAAAGACCTTAATCCATATTGTATACTGATGGTGCTGTTGGTGGTCAGACGGCTCAGTGGCATCTCTGTACAAAGGCCTAACCTCTGTAAGTGAGGAGAGTCTGATGGGGAACTGTGGATACAATCTAGCTTCACTACATTATTGTGTCAGTGACTGCATGAGTGGGTGAATGAATGCGAATATACAGTAACACTAAATCAAAATACTTATATTAAACTCATATTTTGTAAACTTCTGTTTTTTTTACAGCTTCCATCAAGGTGTTCTTCGTCTCAGCACATTCACATTGTGACGTCTCTTTGGACAGGTGTCCATCAGAGATTAGCTACTATCTTCAGAACAATGAAAATTGTGATTTTATTCTCAGTTTTTGTAACCCTGCTGGAAACAAACACATTTTGACATTTAATACGACGAAGAACAGGGGAAATGAGGTTACAATTATAATAAATGGATCCACAGAAACAGTAAAAGGTGAGCAACCAAAGAGCATTGTTCTACCTCCGTTTTTAAAGATTTAGTTTATGGGTAACAGACAAAAATGTGATGGATGATTAGGGTAAATCTTTCTATTTTAACATAACAAATGTTTATATTAAAACAACACTTAGTATTTCTAAAAGTGCTCACAAGAACATTTTCTGTACTTTGCTACAATGCATTTTCAGTTAATGGGAGTCCAAATCCTGTTGAAAAGATATTTGAAATTTCCCCTCCAGTAACCTGGTGTAACATGAGGTAATTATTCTGTTGAGATGTTATTTTACTATGAATTTATGTTTATTCTGTTACATATGAAGACTTATGATATTGAATTAAAACAAAACCATTCATCTTTCTTTTCCAGAGCAAAACTAAACTTCACTTTAAATAAACTCCCTGGTAATGAAGTGAGAGTAAACGTTTCTGCAGTTCCATTCTTTGTTGGTCCCATTAGCAACTCAATTTCCAATCCTTCATTTTCCTGTTCGCCTCTGACCAATTCTACTTCTTCATCCAACGAACATACAATCAAAATCCTTTTAGAGGATTTTCGAGGCAAGTACTCAAAAAATCTGTAAAGATTTGCAGCTATTAATTTAATGGTAGTTTTTTTTTTTTTTTCATTAATTTCTAGAGTTAACAGTGAACTGAAACACTCTTTAGAGCACATAAAACATTACACATTTACTGTAATGCCTAACAGAAGTATTTTTGAACATTTGTACATCTATCACACTTTAACCAAACACCTAAATATATCTGTTATTGTAAACACAGAGGGAAATTCCATGTTTTATAAACAAACCTTTAGAGAACAGCTGAATTTATACAGACAATAAATTATTCATAGGTGTATTATATTTGCCTATTTTTCAGAACTTTAGAAGGTAATTGCTGGCACTATTATATATTAGAGTAAAATACTGTAGAAAAGGATTTGAATATAGCTGCACGCACAGCTTTTTAGATATTTATTTAAATTTAATGCAAACAGCATACATTTCTCCTTCCATTACCCAATTGTTTACCTTATGGTGTAAAAAAAAATCTCACTGAAATATATAAAAATTTGGATTTGTAAAGTTATTAAATGTGAAAAGACTAATAAATAATTTTGCAAGAAATTATCTATTATCTTTACTAATATCCTTTTTTTTTAGGTGCTATTTGCAACACCACATCTCTAAAATTTAACCAGACCCATGTCAGCTGGATTAAAGCCTTGCAGAATTGCAGAAGTTTAAAATCTGAACTGGTTCAAATGAAAACCCAAAGAGTGTGGGATGAATTAAAAAGTCTCCTGGAGAATAGGACAGAATTGGGGAATGGAGTCTGGGTCGGTCTGGAGCGGTCCATTTTCGGCACAAACTTAAAGTGGAAATGGATATCAGGATCAAACCTTCTCAAAACATTCACCCCTACAGACCCCTTGAACAACCACTGTGGAAAGATTGTCAGGGAAAATCCATCTAAGGAACTGAAACTGCGGGATGAAAACTGTCATGAAGAATTACCTTCTATCTGCCAAGGTGAGATGAGGTTTCGACCCAGTTTGGAAGTTGCAATCAGAATGTTTATTTACGAACTGGAGGTGTTTATATTTCGGAAGTTGTTATTTTGTGCTTCTACTGAAACATTTGGGAATATTTCACTGCTGTCAAATTAGACTTTAAGCTTCAACGTTTTTAAAATAAAAAATGTAATTTGTTTTTCTTCTTTATTTCAGGTAATTGAACCTATTCCTGAATGGAGATTGAGAAAGCAGAGAAAACATCCCTGTTAATGTCTTCACTTATATCGCTTTATTCTTACTGCTTTTTTAGGATCCATTATTTCTACTTTTTAGTTTCTGACAAGGTTTAAACCCATTTTGTTAAATATAGTATCTTTAACAGAGGTCTCTTATACAGAGGTCTGTACAGAGAAAATCACCTTAGGCTATGTAAAGCATTTTATTCTATTTTCATTTAATCAGGAAACAGTAACTAATTTGCATAAAGGACCTAGGAAGGCTAAATGATTGTATAAAAGAGCCCACAGTTTGTATATATAGCAAAATTATTATCTGAATTGAGATATATCCAGTTTTAAGTTTGTTTCTTTCTGAGTTTATTAAGTTCTAGATTCTTGAATGCAGCATTGCTTTTCAGATGAATACTTTTCAGAAATAAACAATAATAAATAATATATAATAAATAAATAATACTTTTAAGGGGAAAAAAAGTGAAATGTTAGAACAGTACAATTTACAGTCATGTTTATATTATTGTTTTTATATATTTTTTTTACTTTTTTTCAAGGCTGCACTTAAAAAAAAGAAATTGTCAAGAGAGCTGTTCTTAGCGAAATTTCTTTTTATTTCACACTTGTGTATAAAAAATGACAAATAGATCTCTCTAAGTCTAAGATGTTAGTGAATGGACAGTTCTGCTTTATTTGTGCTGCACTTTATTGCGCTTTTTTTCTTTATTCATGACCAATCTTGGCTGTTTTAACACTAACCTGTACTTTCTTGGTTGTTTTGTGTAAACACTAGAAGGTAAATCTAAAGAAGTAATGTTGTCTTAAGTTAATACTGAGCTAATGTTTCTGTGTGGTCATCTCAAAGTAAAAGAGATAGTAGTAAGTAGGGCTGGGCAATATGAGAAATAAATCATTTTTTTATATTTTAAATTTCAATGGTAACATGGAATATTTATTTACCGGTATGCTTAAATTTTTCTTTTCATAAAGTAATTATAAAAAAAAGACTCCTCTTATTTAAAGCTTTGTCCCAGATGTCAAATAAGCACATTTTTTAACAAACACCTGCAGGTAAACAGTTAGATTGGTGTTTGAGCGAGACAACTGACTTGTCAAAGATTCTTGGATAGATGCCGAAATGTCTTCAGCAAAACTTCGAAATTTGCTTCCAACAAATAACACATCCTTTGTGATTGCCATGACCTGGATGATTGAGAATTACACAAGCATAATAAATGACAGAAAAGTAACATCCTGGCATAAATGTACGTATAAGTGTAACACAACATAGAACATCTTCGTATAAACAATATAGTTTCATTTCATATCTCTTTTGAAGAAATCTAAAGATGTTTAAAATCTTTTCCAGCCCTATTAAAAAACTAAAAAAGCTATAGGCTAATTTATGTTGCATATCCTTTTTGTGAGGTGGTAGTGTGCTATTAAACTAAATATACTCTTTATATAGGTTTATTGTAAGGTAAGAGTTCTTTGCTGTTTTGGTGTCTTATAACATTTCCATTATATTTACCCACTGTACTGATGTTGTTATCCCTGTATTGTTATTACAGGCCACTGCAAATGAATTAGCATAACCTTTTGACTGCTGCATTCGTGTTCTTTTATCAGCACACAAAACCTTTGGCTTGCAGGTTTAAACCACTTAATCTGAGACAACAGATTCTATTTTAATAACCTTAAAACATCAGTCCAGTTCTGATTAGATTATATTTTGTTTGGCTGCAGTTATAACTCAGCTAATAATGTACTGGACAGTTTGGAAATAATATGGATTTGACTGTGGAAAAACCAGGTGTGTAAATATGCCACTGATCAGTGGTGATGAATCAATATACATCTACAAGATTTTAATGTATTTGTTTAATCTAATGGTATAAGGCTTAAGAAGCTAAACATAATTTAATTACATTTAATGTAAGCTATTTTTATGTTTAAAGGGTTGTATTTATTAGAATGTGGCCTTAAAGTTCCTTGAGATGACATTTGTTATTAATTGATGTTTTGAAAATAAATTTTTTTATTCTTTTAAACTCCTTTATACTTTATTTTTTATAAAAGTTAAAGGGGTCCTTTTATTTTATTCTCACAGATGAAATAAATACTTTTGTATTACTGCAGATGTAAATCTTTTATTATTCCACAATGGCGAAATTCACTCTGCATTTAACCCATCCCCTTAGGGAGCAGTGGGCTGCCATTGTTGGTGCCTGGGGAGCAGTGTCAGGTTAAAGGTCTTGCTCAGGGACCCAGAGTGGCAGTCTGTGGGTCTTGAACTCAGATCCTCTGGAATCCAAGCAAAACGTTCTACCCACTATGACCATTAGGCCACCAATCCTCAGTAAATATTGTAATGACAAAGCAGTCAGACTGAAATAGCATTGATACAGCATGTATTCTAATTTTACTATAAAAAATACATGCTTACAGTAATGTGTTCTAGAGGGGAAAAAAATCAGGGTTTCATTTCAAGCAATCACCAAAAGAATTGTTGTTAAAATCAAATAAAGGATAACCAAAAATATGGTGCCTCATTTTCTGAAGCACCATATTATATATGATGGAATTCATGATGTCTTTAATGGCAGTAAGCTGGACAGATCAGGGGAGATGAGCATCCCTCATTCTTTGAAACATCTACCTCCATGCTTCACAGGTTTTCTAAATAGGTTGAACAAACACAAAGTCTGTCTTTGGATGTAAAAATTATTTCCCCATTGGAGTGGTGATCACAGCTGCTAGAAGGACTTTTTTATGATTTTTTTTTTTTATCCAAAAAAAGAGGACAAATTATTTGGGGAAAAAATTATTGTAATGGTGGTGGAATTGGATTCAAGAATAAACTGGAACATTGCAGCCTCATGTTAAAAATCAGATGTTTTTATTTTATGTTTAAAAAAACATGTGAAAAGGGGTAAACTGAGTAGAAATAAACTAGCTGCAGCACATATACATTGCCATGGACAAAACAAAAAAACTTGAGTGTAGGTGAGCAAACCAATAAACTCTCCAACAAAGTAAAAACTGATAACAGGAGTGAGAAGCAGCTGTGACTGGGAGGAGGAATGTTGATCCCATGTTGACGGAAATGACTGGGACAACTGAGGGAAGGTGACTAATAAACAAAGACAGAACACAAAGTTATAAGTTAAAGAAACAATATTTTTACACGAAGAGCAGAACACAAAAAAAAAAAACTATACTATGATCCAAACACTATAGAGAGGAATTACAATAAACATTAAAAATCTAACTTTACTGAGTTATAAAGAACATTTCTCATGTTCACCTTTAAAATGTTCCTACAGCAGCTATGTTAGCATTTTATGGAGAATAGAAGGTAAAGGTTGTGACATCTTTACTATATGGAGGAGGTCTTGAACAGGGGGTCCGCAACCCCTAGGGGGTCCATGGAGGTACTGCATGGGGGTCGCGAAAGTTTTCGTTGATTAGACTTTTTTTTTTCCCCCTGCAATTTTTTCACTAATTGAAATGTGTTTAAATACACATTATCATGAATTCAACACACTGTAGTAAACAGATAAATGGAGGCAGAAGATGTCTTTCAGTCATCAATGCACACATTCAGCAACACACAGAAGCTCTTTCAAGCTGGGCACCGTTTCATTCACAACACCTGTCCCATCAACCAGGAATCAGAATCAGAAAAACATTTTTATAATCTCACAGCAAAGTTACTTTCGTTACATGACTCCATCTGTAATAGAGTGACTTTAGGACCAGTTTGATATAACACAATTTTATACAATATATATAATTAGGAGGTCCCCGCTCTATCTCGCCATCTGTTTGAGTGTCCTTGGCCTGGAAAAAAATTATTCTGCTATATGGAAATATTTTCTCATGTGGCAGGCATTTCATCCACCAGCCTATTGTAAAAAAAAAAAAAAAAAAAGAACAACAACATTAAATTAAACAAAATTTCTCTATTTGACGTTTACAAACAACTATTATGAGTATGATGCATAAATGCACCTAACCAAACACCTCTTGACACATCATGAATGTTTGACCTAATTTCTGTACTTTTGAATGCGGATTACAGCGGCCAATTAAACCTTCTATTAATTTTCCCAGTCCTGAGTTCATATCTCTGTGAAGACTATTTTTTTTTTTTTTTTCATTTTTGCTGTCCTAGTTATATGTTAATTCATTAAGTATGTTAAAGGGTCTGTAGCATGACTACCGGTGAGAAGACCTAACAAGCAACAGCATAACTAACATTATAAATATCAGTATAAATTGAACTAAAACGAATTTAAACGGGAGAGACTCACACAGATAAAAGTTGTGATTAAAAAAATATTTAATTTATGTTTCTAAATCCTTTAACAAACTAAAATCTGGAACATTTATAATTAATTTGGTTTCTTTTGGGGTTTTACTCTACCAGCTATGTGAAACTATTTAGGCTAAAGTTAAGGAAGCTGCAAACAAATGAGGTTCTCATGTTTACACTTATATTTACATAAAATTTCAAACAGATGTTACAATGCACAGTATTTTGTTTTTCTTCTAACCCTTGTCAGAACACATTTACATACTTTATTGCTGATATTATAATCTTCCTCTATGTTCCTGGATTGAAAGGGACCGTACTGGTGAGAAAGTGAACCGTGTCTATAGTTTTAAATAAATTCCTTTTAGACAGCACTGCAGAGTCCAGACTTGGAGTCCTTCCCACCAGTTTGTGGTTTCAGTTCTCAGCAGTGAGGTGAGTTTATGATTAACTAGACAGATTAAATGAACATGAGAGAAAGAGTTATTGACATAGAGTTGGACTGTAAAATATTTCCATACCTAAAAGTCATGACTTACCTTTACAAATCTGAATAATGTTGAGTTTATGCTGTTGTTTAGTATTCAAGTAAATAAAAAATTAAAATTCCTGAAAATAGCCAATCAACACTTTAGTTTTTTTTTCTAGCACTTAAAAAACACTATTATCAAATAGTTGGAATGAGAGATTAACCACATTTGATAAGACAAAGATTTACAGAATAGCATCATGTGCAAATGTTGTTATTCTCAAATATGCAATGTAGCTGTGTTTCTTTAACAGATAGATACTGGTAAATCCTGAAACCGATCACATGCTGCAGCTGCACACTTTAACTATTTGCACTGAGCTTATGATACAAAGAATAGATTTTCCATCACAAGCACGGTCATAAAAATGCTGCTGTTTAACCTCACCGTGTATTTTCCTAATAGATTACAGGTCATGGCACGTCTGATTTCTCTGCTGTTGGTGCTTGGTATGTTCTTGTCGACATAAACTTGGTTGACTCTAACTGAATGTTAAAATTCAAAGTTTGATCCTTTTTTCCTGTTTATGTTATTCTCCTTTGCTTTGGAATAGCATATATTATTATTTTCATTGTACTCTTAACATTTCAATATGAAAATGAAACAACTAAAACCAATATTTGTTTCTTTTTAGCAACCATGCAGATACTTCTTATTGAAGCAGAAGCTTCGGTACAAGGAAACCTCAGTATATCACGTGAGAATTGCCCTCGGCGCTGGAAGATTAAAGAGGATTCAACTGCAGAGGCTCTCGAAATCAGGTGTTGGATAGGAAAAAAAAAATCTTTGGCATTTCTTTGGCTTTGCCAAAGAAATGTTCTAATGATGTCAATACATGCAATTGCCTCAACGTTACAATTGAAAGCAATGAATTTTTCATAAAGAAAAAGAACGGTACGAATGCATCTTTAAGTTCTTCATGTCGAACAAAACTGAATTAATTTCCAGATCCCTATGTCTCAAAAGAAATCAATCTCACATACATAATAATTCATTATTTGAATGATCCTCATTTTTGTAGAATGGATACCTGTAAAGAAGTCTGAAAGTTTTATATTTTGTAAAAAATGCTGCACGACTGAATGCCCTCTTTATTGTAGAGATACAGACTGGAGACAAGGGTAATGACTTCCTCTAAAACGTACTTTTAAACACTTTTATACCTCAAATGTTTGGGTCTCTCATTCTGTATGCATTTTTTTTTCTTTCATAGGTTATGGATTGAATCAAAGATTTCAACAATTGATGTGAAATTTAATAGCAATTCTAAGTTAAGTGTGACTAACGAGGATGATGGTGAAACAGGTAGGCAGTTTTTTTTTTTTTTAAGTTATCATCCTGCAGCTGAAATCTGGGAATTTTTGTTGCTGTTTTTACTTAAGATGTTTAGTTTCCAAATTAATTAGTAAACTGAGTTAAATGCTTTTATTTGCTTTTACTTGCAAGTAAAAGCAATTAATAAAGAATGTGATGGATATAAAACTGGAGATTGACAATATTTCACTATAGCAATGGTAAAAGGAAGAAGCTTCAACAGAAAAAAATAGAACCATTTCAGTTAAGGACAGTTTATGATGCATGTTTGGCTCTAATTTACACATAAAATTACATTGTTGGCTGCTTCTTTTTTCATTGAACAGATTTCCTTCTTAGATATTAAGTGCTGTGAGTTCTTGTCTTCTTTGTGTTACTATTGATCCCCAAATTTCTTTTGTTTCTTAAGTTTTAACTGCGGCATATCTAATTGTGTAATTGTTTGCCGTGTTACTTTACAGCAGGAAGTTCCTGGGTTCCAATCCCTGCCTGGGGTCTCTTTGCATGTAGTTTGAATTTTCTCCTTATGCTTGCCTGAAAAACATTTTTTTCTCAGTTTTATAATGGGATATTTGTGCGGAAAGGAAAAAGGAAAAAGATCATTTAATACCATTTAGAATATTGTGATAGCTTAAATTTAATGTAGAACTCACTCCTTCAGTTACTAATTACAAAGACATCAGTTCCACCCTCCACCATGCAGGGTGAGATTTTAAAAAATGTCATGCACTGAGTCTGCAGGCGTTTTTCTTATAAGTCTGCATTAAATATTATTTAATGTTAATTTTGACAATTTTTTTATTTAACATGCTGTTAAAAGTTGTCATTTCTTCTATTCTATTCTGGTTCCATAGTTATCGACCTCCTACTCTTTAATCTTAGTGTGTATTTAGCAAAATTGCTAAAACATTGCATGACATAGATGCAATGTTCAAGCCAAGATACTCTAACATTGCTTGTTAGAGCTGTTGTTTTTTTTACCGGTATTTCTAACTCAGTAGAGTTTTCTTTTTTAACACATGCATTTGTTTGAATATAAGTTTGATATGAAAACATAAAGCCTTGTTTTTATTTCTTTGTTTGTTGCCAAGAAACATTTCTGCAGGCTATAAATGAGACCAACAGCTGGATTAAAGCTCTGCAGCACTGCCGACATTTGAATTCGACCCTGGTTCAGATCACTGATGAGACAGTGGGGTACGAATTGCTGAGTCTGCTAGAGGAAAATGAAGCCTTACAGAACGGATCCTGGATCGGACTGGAACGCTCCATCTTTGGCACCAACTTGGAGTGGAAGTGGACCTCGGGGATCAAAGCTGATTACTCCGACTGGAACAGCAGCTTTTCTGTCGATCCCTTGAACAACCACTGCGGAAAGATTGTTTGGCTTGAAGATTCAGACGATTTCCAGCTGCTGGATGGAAACTGCCATGAAAAGCTACCTTTCATCTGCCAACGTAAGCTTCACTTTCAATGAGAGGCCTTTATATAAAGAGGTCTGCAGTGAGCATTATAGAAAACTAATAATCCTAATTTTGATCATTGTATTTAATTTCTTCAGGTCAGCCATAATCTCTACGGAGCTCAGAAAACTACATAGATGGATCATCTTTCTGCGAAAAGTACTCTTTAATTATAAAGGGTTGCTCTGGATTGCATGTTTTTTTTTTATGTTAGATATATCGTTTTACATTTAGTTATTTTATTTTATTTCATTTTATGCTTTATATATTTATTAAGCAGCATGATTAAAACAAGCAGTTTATCATCTTTGAAATTTTATTTTTACCTCTTTTTGTATTTCTGTTGATGAAGAAGTAAAAAACCCAGAAAAATTAGAACTAAATTAACAAATCTGATTTGTATTTTTTGGCTCAGAATAAGATCAAGAGTGAAGTTTTTAAGGGATATTTTCACAAAACCACTTTAAGGTACTTTATCCGTTTTACATGAAAAAGACCCAGAAAACTTTACTCTTTTTCATAAAAGTTTATCATTTAATTTCATGTTAATTCAACTTTAAATGTTTTTTTTTTTTTTTTGATTTCCATGTTTTGTTTTGGGTTTTTTTTTATCATTTTTCTTAAGGTTTATATAAATGCAATATCTAACATAAACGTTTCTTATTTGTTTCTGTAGATATTGTGAGGCTATTGATTATATTTATATTCTTATCCATATATATAACACTGAGATGAGTGTTTTTGTCAGCCTTATGCTACTTTATAATTAATTTTATTATTTTCTTAAGGTTCATTTATACTCATTTGTGTCTAAGCTTTAATCTGATGACTGATATCGATCCTTTTGTCACTTCTCAAAAAAGAATAACAAGCCTACTAAGGTTTATAGACAGATTACATTACTTAATTTCTTTATTTCATATTATAATTTGACACAGTTATTACATTTGTATTTGCTTTAATATTATCGGTGGTGATTGTTAAATTCTTGTGCCTTTGGTTTTTGACCTCTATAAAATACTATCTCACCAATAAATACAATCTGACAGATTCCCTATTGGGTTGTACAAGCTTCCATTGATTCTGAGCATTTATCTATGTTTTGTATTATAACTGAAAATGTATTTGGAAAGGTATATCTGAAGTTGAATTTTTCTATAAAATGATATCTAGCTTACATCTCATTGTTGATCTTGTCATTAATTAGATATTTGTAGTGGTAAAAAGGAATTGAACTATGCAGTCAAGTTAAATAAACTGTGATTGATGGATTTCACTCAGTCGGCATTCTTTTTCTTTGCAAAGAAAATAGAGACAATCATGGCGTAATGCCCAGCCCTGCTCGTGCTACACAAAGATTCGCATTAATTTAAACCCTGCAGGAAGGCTGTGATAGCGTTACCCAAAACAATTATAGACAGTTGGAAACAACACATGTTATAAAATAATCCCTTAGAAACAGTCTAGCTTGTTATGAGAACCATTATGTTTATCCCAATCTGTCAGGGTTTGGTTGTGATCTGAGGACCCAAATGCAGAGGCAGAGGTGAGTTTTTGTTGATTTAATGAAAGTTAAAGGCTAACTAAAGGACCAACGAGCAGATTGGGAGCAGGTGTGAAGAGAGCAGACTGGGAAAGAGCAAGGAAAAACACCAACACAAGGGGGCAACAGATGGCAACAAATACAAAACCTTAGAACTCAAATATATCCAAAAACACAACAAAATAAGAATTAAACCAGTAAAACTAAAAAACATGGAGCAAAGTTAAACTGAATACTCAAAAGAAAACATAACAGAACCAAGACTGTGACACAAACACTCCCTAATAGGATAAACAACCCCTCTCCCTTAGACACATTGTAGCCTTGCAGCTCTAAATCTTAAATGAATGAAACTCAGCACTCAATCAATATATGTAAAAGGAAATTAATAAGATATTGATTTTTTTTCTTGTAGATAACTTTGGGGTTGATTAGTGATATATGTTAAAAAAATGTAAACTGAAAAAATTATAAATTAATAATTGATCTCACATTGGAGAAATTAACCTCTGCATTTAACCAATCCCCTTTAGGATCCCCAGAGTGGCAGTATATGGGATCAGGGCTCAAACTCAAAACCTCAGGATTACAAGCTCTATGCCATAACCACTAGGCCACCACTTCCCCAGCAATACAGCATAATTATCATTACCATAACTTTCTGAACAATTATTGTTTGTAGATTGAGAGTAAAAGTTTTTTGGTTTGTCAGGAGAGAGGATGCTAATGCTAAAAACATTTAAAAAAAAAATTTTATACAGGAGGAATACTATTGTCAATTTCATTTTAGAAATCCAGAAGCAAAAGCCCAGTAAACATGAATGGGAAAAGACTTTTAATTAAGCTATCTGAAATACATATTAAGTAAATCTAATACATTTCAAAATGGCCACTTGGTATTTGTAAAGATTTATAGGGATCTAAAACTTAATTTTATACTTAATGTATTCTAAATGTATTCTTAAGTCCAATGTAATAGAAAATGTAATTGAGGAACTCAGTATTTACAGTTTTGACTATATTAATTATTTTAATTATCTACAAATGGAACAAAGGAGTGGACTTTTAATATATTTCCGAACAGTCTGGCACAGTAAATAGAGAAAGAGCAGAGTTGGATGCAGTCTGGGTTTGCATCTGGAGGGAAATAGGTTTAAGGTTCTCTGTTGGGGTAATGAGGGGGTTCCATTTTTTGTCCTGTGGAAGTGGAGACTACCTGTGATAGTGTTGAAGTCATAATAATAATCGAACTTTAATAATCTCACATTGGAGAAATTTACCTCTGCATTTAACCCATCCTCTCGAGGAGCAGTGGGCTGCCATTGTGTGGTGCCCGAGGAGCAGTGTGGGGGTTGGGACCCAGAGTGGCAGTCTGTGGAAGTGAACTCAGAATCTCAGGAAGCTCTATGCCTTAACCACTGGGGCGCCACTCCCCCATCTTTCTTGTTATTCCTATCTAGGCTTGAAAAAAGCTGTAATGGACTTACTATTGGTTTTCTGTGGGAATGCTACAATGGAACTATGGACTGGCCATGATCACACCAAGCCAATCATTGGTCATCTGTGTCCAACTCTAACAGATCATTTGATCTTCCCATGTGGAAGTTATTCACCAAGCTTGGAACAAATAGTTCTCTAGAACAGAGCGTGGCAGCAGTGATATTTTAAAATGAATTGTCCTAACTTTCATTTTTATTGTTAGTATATTTACCCTAAACTGACAGCAAAAATACAGTAATTAATAATTCACATCAATAACTAACAAACACAGAATTCAAGCCATTTTCAGAACTAGTTTTGTGTATCATGGGGGAGAAGGAAGTTTCTCTCCAAGTCATTTAGGATCATTCTATGTGATCAGGGATAAAAATACAACTTCTAAATCCATTTAATTTGTGTATTATATAATACCCTAAATTATGGATTTAGACAGCATAGATGTATTAATATGTGTGAATATTTATTAGGGAGGGCATCATGAAAATCTAATCTTTCTATAGTAATTTATTTAGAAATTTAAGATGTTGTGATCATTAATTTTTCCATTTGTTAGAGTGTAGTTAATTCAGCTTTTGGTGTCTATTACTTTTAAGCAACCCCTCTGTGCACATTGGTCCCTACCATCCCTAATTGTTATGGTTCAACCAGCATACACCTCTACTGTTATTTTTTTGAATATATTGTTGATCATTTGTAACGTTGTAAATATTGTGGTGGGGAAATTATTTACCTATCTATTCCTCTTTCCTCCATTTTAAAATCATAGCTCATATTTGACATGTTTCTTTAAGAGTGACTCAAACATGCACAATCATGGATGCTGAGAGGTTTTCAGTGGTTTTATAGAGAACACTGAGAAGGTAACTGAATCAGTAAGGCCCCAGATGGGGAGTCTCTGAAGGGAGACGGTGAGCAGTAACAGATGAAGGTATGAAATTGTTTGAAGCTTAGAGAGGCTTACTGTTACAGAGGGCAGTAAGGAGGGACTGTACGGAATCTGCAGCTCAGGTGAGACGCTGATCTTGAAGGTACAGCGTTGTGGAGGCAGAAACCCAGCTGGAGAGAAACAGACCGAACCTTTCCTGAGGGCTGACACAAGAGGACAGTCTGGGAAATCCAGGCATCAGAAAGAAACTCAGGAAAGGAAATGCGAGGAGGGACACAGAACAGGTAAGGATCTCAAAGGTTAGATTCTGAAACTAGAAAAGACAGTTGGTCTATTACCACAGAAGGTGCGAAACCATCTGCCGTCCATCTCTTTTTCTTCTTTGGTGAAGTTAAATGGCAGTTGGCAAACAATTTGGAAGTGCTTTATTGCCACCTACCAATTTGGATTGTTGAACAATATGACAATATACTAAACAAATATGTAGTTATTTATTTAATAAGGATATAAAACTATTTATTTATTGAATGCATAAAAAAATCCCAAAAAAAGCACATGCACAACCCTGTACCTGAACGTCCGCTCTTCACGTCTCCCACAATCACTATATAGAGCGGGGACTATATAGAGGGCTTTATAGCAAACTCAGTTAACTCACTGCTCTGACAGATAATCAATACTTTTTGCTCCCTGTTGGTCACGTTACTCCTCCTCCCCTGGCTAGCGACAGCCTATGGTGACAGTGGGCTGCTGTGAGAGCAAATCTGCCTCTTCTGAGGCCTTTCTTTTCTTCCCATACACTTCGCAGACACTTTTTTCCTTACGACCCTCGGCCAATTTCTAAGAACCGCAGTGGGAAGGTGTGCTTAAATGACTGAAACCTTAGCTCACCACTTATGTATATGATCCACCAGGAAATAAAAGATCATCCTCTGCACCTTTAAGCATCTAAGGCTGTACAGAACAATTACCCATTTATTCACTTCCACCACAGCATTGTTGCAGCCGCGGAGTAGGCATGTAGTCACGTCAGTCAAATTCAAAACTTCTCAACCCCCAGAGAATAACCATTGGTTAGGTGTTAATTGTAACTTCATCTAGCAAAGATAGTGAACAAACCCTTGACAGAAACTGCTGAGTTTTTTGCTGCATCATAGCGCTTACAAGCTATGACTGCCTTCTCAGGCCTTTGCAGGGAGATCTAAAGTTATGTTCGATCTAAAGCTGTTCCTCAGGCTTGAGGCAGCTTCTTCAGGTAAGATCCGTTGTACCCTTCATGTTAAAGTGCTGGAGGTGCTGCCTGAACTTGTACGGAGGAGAAGATTCAGGTTCTATATTTTCTTGTCTCCACCTGCAGCGCAGCCATCCTGATGTATAGCAGCTTAACAAACTTTAGGGAAACTACGTCAGCGGCATAACCAGTTAGAAGGAATGGTCGGTGGGGGTACTTCCCAATACTGCAGTGAATAATTGAAAGAAAGTAATAATAGGAAAAGATTTTATGAAAATTAGGAACAAAAAATGTTCTACTCTGTTTCATCATCTGCTGGAGGAAAATATTACATGAATATGTGACCGTCATGCTATTTCCTGATGGAACTACTGTGGCCAAAAAAACAAAAAACACACCTTAAACATGGAAATTTGACCATGCAGTTCTGGACTGATGAGTATTCAAATCACCCATATACTAACAAAAAACTTGTTTGACTGGGTGCTGGCGAGTGTTGAAATCATGCATGTCTAGAACTAGCAGGGATGCAAAATATATATGAAGCAAAGTCATAGATGTCTGACAGATAATACAGCCAAATACAAATGGCAGCTTACCTCTGTTTATGCTTAAGATTCAAAAACTCTACATAATAAAACTGGGAAATTATTAAAATACAAACACCATACAGTAGAAATCCAAACCTATTACCCGAGGATAATAACAGTGTGGTTAGATTCCACATTTGCAAAGAATAACCCAGTTTTATGTTTCATCAGATACAACTAACAAATAACCACTTTTTAAGCTATCGTTTGAACAAAAAGATTGATCAAACCTAAATTCGACTCAGTTTATTTTGGAAATGCAGTAGAATTAAACATTATTTGTTTTGAAAGTTTTTGGTCCTGATGT